CGCCGCCGGCGGGGCGAGCCGGGGGCCGCAGCCCCTCGGTGCGGCCGGGCCGCGGGGGCGGGCGCGGGGCGCGGTCTGACTCAGCACGGCCGGGGCCAGCTCCGGGGAAGCGCGGCCGGCTGCGAGCCCAGCGCCGGGAAGGGAAAAGGAAGGCGAGAGAGAGGGGAGGCGGGGGGGAAAAGAGAGGGAGACGGCAATTTTGAACGGTCCAGTCGCAGCTGCGAGCCGGCACGGCGGGGCGATCCCCGCCCGTGTGTCAGCCCGCGTTACACCCCCGCCGCCGCTTAACCCTTGGGGGAGAGCCGCGCTCCGCAGCGGCGCTCGGCGGGAGCGCAGCCCCCGCGCCCGGCCCGCCCGGCGCTGGCTGCAGGTGGACATGATCGCTTACAGGAGGCGGCTGCACTTTGACCTTGTTGTGCAACCATCATAAAGGAAGTAAATAACGTAAAAATAAAACCCGCCTTTCAATAAATGCGCTCTTCTGCCAGGCGCTGTTTCCCCAGAAAACTGAATTACTGGAACAGTATTAGCAGATGCAATTGGAACAATATTATCAGATGGTATGATTTATCTTTCACAGAATGGAATCATGGAATCATCAAGGTTGGAAGAGACCTTTAAGATCAAGTCCAGCTGCACTACCACTGTAACCCTTAAACCACTAAATCACATCTCCCAGCACCAGATGCAGATGCCTCTTTAACACCTCCAGGGGTGGTGACTCCACCAACCTCTCTGGGCAATGTATTCCAACCCTGATTTAACTTAACTTTCATGTTTTAAGGGTTAGGAAGCTCAAAATAGCACCTCTTATATCAGGATTTTAAAATAAGCTTTGCTCTTATGTTTTGGGAATGGGCAGCATTAGAGGCTGGAGCTCTGTTGTAGTGGGATGGGCTCAGCACCTGCTGGTTGATGATTCTGGGGAATTGACTGGCCTAAAAGCTGCTGCTTCGAGGCTGGTGGAGACCTGGAAGAACAAGAGCCATGAGTTATCTGTGAAAAGGGGATCACTTTAAATATGTCCACGCTTTCTGTACATAGGGCTGCCCAGATGTGGGTGCCAACACTTCCCCCATCACATATTCGTGGTGATCACTTGACTTGTAGTACTCTAAAATGAATTAAATTGATCTGCTTGACAGTCGACCCCATGAGCAATGGGAACAGTGCTGAAGTACTGTCCAGTTCTCACCCTGTCCCCAAATAGGCAAACATGCCTACCAGGGAGAAGCTGTTTGCCAAAAAGGCACATAAAAACTCATACGTATTTGCTCTTAACATACAGGCCCCAAAGAATAGAGCAAGTACCTTTAAATCAAAAATCTTAGAAATTCAGCTCATAGTGAGTGATATTACTCTTCTAGTTTCTATGTCCTCTTCTCGCCTGCACTAGACTTTGGCTGATAACTAAAAAATTACAATGTTAAGCCTTTCCCAAGGCTCTGCTCACTTACCCCCATGGCATCACCCTGAGAGACTGCCTACATCCTCTGAGTTTTATATTAATATTTTATTCTTGTACTTAAATGCTTTTCTCAGGCATCACTTGAAACTCAAGGGTGAACAAGAAACTGCCCTTTTCATCTGTATGAATTTTAACTCCCATTTTATCAAATTTTGACAAATTACAGTGCTGCAAAGTGGATGTGATTTTACAGACATCACTGTAGGTCATGTTACCCTTTTCTTACAAGACAGAAATGCTGCTTTGAGCAGGGCAGTCCCAACCTCTTTGCTGCTGCCTCAGTCAAGCACGTTGCTAGTTTTAGCTATGGTGAAATTCTATAAGCAACATACCAAAGAACTCTCTGGAATGGAAGCCTGGTCACATTCCCTATCCAGCAGAAGAGTTAATCAGCTGCTCAAATGATTTATTAAGGGTGAACAAGCTTGACTTAAGCTAAGCCAGCCTAAAGGTGCAGAGTGGCTGAAAGACAATTTCTTCGATGGCATCTAGCCAGGGCACAGCCCCATGCTGGGCCACAGTGCCCGAGGAACACGGGAGGAAGAGATGGAGGATGTTATCAGGTGGCAGCAGCAGTCAGCATGAAGGGGCAGAGCAGCCTGCATTCCTGCTCTGCTCACATTCTGGGACAGCTTGAATGTAGTTTACAGATGCCTACAAAACTAGAAATAAAAACCTCGAAATCTTCACGTCCTCATTCTAACACTCTCTTTAGTGTACCATATGGCACATCTACCATATTAGGTAAACAACTTTACAAAATTACAAGAGCAACTGAGATTCATTACAACTTGTGCATTATAAGTGTGTAGGATCCATTACTGAATAATTTATCTTTTCATACACTCTGTCTCTTGTTTGACGTTGGAAGTAAGTTTCTAGACTGAATTCTTCAGCACAGGGATTCCAGCTCCTCTGTGCTGTACTACTCCATTTTAAATGATACAAAAAGAGCAATTTGCACAAGAATTCCAGTAATGGAGTACAGCTAATTATTAGTGTGGTGTAGAAATAGTCAGACTCAATATACAGTGAATGCTGTGAACTTCACCCATCAGCACCCATCAGTTACACCAAAAGATCTTGAACGTTACAGGCACATATGGGTTCTCTGTGTGTCAAAGAGCAGAAGCTAGCAGGAGCTATCCAGGAAAAATGGAGAACTGTCAGTTCCTTTAATCTCCTTCCTTTATATTATTATATATTATTATTTAAAATACTTATTTCCCCTCCTAGATCTACAATGTACGTAATGACACAGAGACTATCTCAGGTTAAGGTAATGCCATTCTCCTTCTGTTTGTTTTCTAAAAATGAAGTTAGTCTACAAGTCACTACAGAAACATCTGGCAGAGGTATGGATTGGGGTGACAAGGGACAGAACAGAGAAGCCTATGGATGGTTTTAGTCTTAACTCACCCATCAGAAGACAAAAGGCCCATCAATAAATAGATTAAAAACTTATTGTTTTGATGGGTGATTTCTTGCTCTTTCCTGCCCCTCTCTCTGCTCCTCACCCAGGATCATTTGAAATACTGAAAGCTGGGATTTAACCAGTAACACCTTGATTTCAAAAGTTCAGTCAAACAAGATGACAAAATTCACACTTGTGTCAGTTTCCACTGGAAAGTGCTCAGCAAACACAAAATTTTGGGTTCATTCATAAAGCTGCACTAACCTTGTAGCCAGTATCCTTCCCTACCTTTCTGCCTTGTACCCCATTTCCTTTTTTTTTTTCCCTTTTGGAAGACCACAGTAGTTCAATGGATAATTTTATAAGTAGAGAGTGTTAGGAGCAAAGGAATGAAGTCCTGGTTGAAGATGATGCAGTTCTGTGCACAAGTTCCCTGTTGGTAACCTTGAAAGTCTGTGTGCTGATTCTTCTGCAAATGGGTCAGTCTCCACTAGCAAGTGAGCAGCAAAAGCACCAAGACTTCATTTGCATCCAGAATACAAATCTTCAACAATCTATAGGAAAAATATTCCTGGTTTTAATATTTTTCTTCGAGTTTAGGGGCAAATGCAGTTTTACTCCACACATGCACAATAAAGCATCTTCAGTGCCCCTTGTAGTCTGTGCTCTTGACTGTCTTCTCCCTGAAAACTCAAAATATTGTTAAGTCTTGGTCTTCAACTCATCCCATGTACTTCAGTTGTCCTTAGGTGAATCCCTGAAGAAGTCTAATGCTCCTAATAGGGATTAATATTCATAATTAAGTATGGTATGCTGCAGGAAAATGTCTTAACCCTTGCACTGTAAAATAAAAAGAGATGAACAGTACATTTGGAGAGCAACAGTACAGTCCCTTTTTCTTTTATGATAATCATACCTACCTACACCCATATTTCCACTGAAGGACAGTGTCTGTCCTTATGGGTACTGGACTGTTTCTGCCAGCCACAGAAGCTCCAGCCCTGTGCTGCAATTCAGTGTTCTGGACAGAAGCCTCACATGATGCTGCCAGGGAAGAGAAATGGCAAAAGCATTCACTTAAATAAGTGTCTGTATCTGTATAATAATTACTGGAACTCCAGAAGTAGAGCAGAAAAAAAAAACCCAACTCTTCTTTTCATAAAATTTATTTGATTGAATAAATACATTATGTGACAGCTTAAGGGATATCCTCTTTTTAAAACCAAGGTATTTAACAATACCTAGTTATTAATTAGGAAAGACATAGAAAATGTCTGTTACAAGGACACTACTTATGAGCTTGATTTTCAAACCAAAATGTTATCTGAGCACACAACTGCCTTGGCAATCTCCTAAGTGTTTCTGGGATAGAAGACTGTGCTTCTAGAACATGCAATTCCCACAGGAGTTATTTATGTGTGGCTCTCCTGAGGCATTCCAAAGTCCACACAACTCAACATCCGGCGCCCAAAAGAAAACGCCCGGAGAATATACTGTGGGATAAAGG